CTCGTCGTCCTCGTCGTCCTCGTCGTCCTCGTCATGATCCTCGTCCTCGTCCTCGTCCTCGTTCTCGTCCTCGTCCTCGTCGTGATCATCGTCCTCCTGCTTCTTCTCTCCTCCTCCCATTTCTTCCTGCTCCCTCCTCCTCCCTCTCCCTGATGCTCTTCCCTCCATCCCTTGCTCCTTGTGCTCCTCCTCATCCCTCCTCCTCCTCCTCCTCCTCCTTCTTCTCCTCCTCGTCCCTTCTCTCTCCTCCTCCTCGTGTTCCTCCTCCTGTGTTCTCCTCGTCCTCCTTCTTTTCGTCCTCCTCCCTCTCTCCTCCTCCTCCTCCTCCTCCTCCTCCTCCTCCTCCTCCTCCTCCTCCTCGTCCCTTTTCTCTCATCCTCCTCCTCGTGCTCCTCCTCCTATGTTCTCCTCTTCCTCCTTCTTTTCCTCCTCCTCCCTCTCTCCCTCCTCCTCCCTCCTCCTCCTCCTCCTCCTCCTCCTCCTCCTTGTGACTTTCCTGACGCTCTTCCTTCTCTTCCCTCACTCCTCATTCTCCTCCTGCGCCGCCTCCTCCCCCACCCATCTTTTTCATACACGATTCCTCCTCTTCGCGCCACCGAGGCGTGATGGTACAGCCCAGACGCTGAATTGAGGAAGATGTCGGGTTTGGAAGGAGCTCGTTTTTTCTTAGGTTCTTCCATGGCTGTTGCCTCCAGCGCTCCTCGTGCCCCCCTGGCGCTCCTGGTGTGGTGCCCGAAGCGGGCTTCGCTCCCGATCCGGCGGTCCTCACGGGCGCAGCCTGAGCGCAGGACAGGCTGGGCGTGTCGCTGGAGGCTTCCTCACCGCTCGCGACCGTGGACTCTGACACGCGCAGCGTCTGCGAGGACGCAGGGCGGACCGTTGTGGACGCACGGCTCTTGCCTCCTGCGTCGCGCGACATCGTTGGGTCAGCTTCCGGCGGAGGCGGCCCGGATTTTTACCTGCAGGGCAAGAAGCGGGGCTCTCGCCGCAGCGCGCGTGTACGCTCGTTTCGGCCACGGCTCCAGCGCTTGCATGGGGCTGGGGAGCGATCGTTTTCAACACGCGGCTCTCGCTTGAGCTCCGCGCCCGTCCGTTTCCACAGCTGCCGGCAGTTCTCCCGACAGCGCCTGCACCCTGGCATCGCTCGGACGTGTGCATTTTGTTCTCGGCGAGGACCATGGAGGACCATCGAGCAACAAACATCACGCACGAAACCGAAACATGCACGGGAAATGGACGTCCGAGCGATGGCGAAGTGCCTGCGCTGAGGGTTTCTGCTCGGTTCCCTAGGCCGCTGGGTCCGTCCGCCGAGGCGCCCGTTGGGCGCCCCGCTGGCGCCCCCCTGGCGCCTCGTCGGCGCCCTGTCGGCACCCGCGCTTCCCGCTCGAGGGCGCTTGCGGGCACCCCGTGGGCGCCCTCGTGCCCCGGGCGGGGTTCCGCGCCGAGGCCTCGCCCGCGTTCCCGCCCCGTGGGCGCCCCGCGGGCGCCTCCGTCTGCGCCTCGCGCCCCGTGGGGCGGGGCTCCCGCCGAGGTCCCGCCAGCTGCCCGCCTCGTGGGCGCCTCGTGGGCGCCCCGGGCCCTGGATGGGCAGCGCAGTTCGCACAGCATAGCTCGCGCCGCATGGCTTCCTCCTCCTCCTCCTCCTCCTCCTCCTCCTCCTCTCCTCCTCCTCCTCCTCCTCCTCCTCCTCCTCCTCCTCCTCCCTCCTCCTCATCAGCATCAGCATCAGCATCAGCATCAGCATCAGCATCAGCAATCAGCATCAGCATCAGCATCAGCATCATCATCTCATCATCATCATCATCATCATCATCTCATCATCATCATCATCATCATCATCATCATCATCATCATCATCATCATCATCATCATCATCATCATCATCATCATCATCATCATCATCACATCACATCATCATCATCATCGTCATCATCATCATCCCTCTTCTTCCTCCTCCTCATCCTCCTCCTCTCTCCTCCTCCTCCTCCTTCTCCTCCTCCTCTCCTCCTCTCCTCCTCCTCCTCCTCCTCTCCTTTCTCATCATCATCATCTGATCCCTCTTCCTCCTCCTCCTCCTCTCCTCCTCCTCCTCCCCTCCTCCTCCTCCTTCTCCTCCTCCTCTCCTCCTCTCCTCCTCCTTCCTCTTCCTCCTTATTCTCCTTCTCCTGCTCCTCCTCTTCCTCCTATTCTTCTCCGTCCCACGCCACATACGTCACACCGCATATCCAACACATTATATCTCACACCACACAGCTTGCTCCGCATACGGTGGGGGCGTTGGTTAAGGCATGTGCACAGGAGGCTTCACACCATACTTTACACTACATAGCTTATACTCCGCAAAGCTGCCACCTCCATGGTGCAATAACTCACTGTTTGGGTTCCACTCTGGAAAACACTCCTCAGCGCCGCGCACATTCGTTTTAAGATCTAGCATGGGGTCCCACGATGGAAGGCAAACCGTTTTCAAGAGCTCCGAACAGGTGCACAGTCAAACTGGGTCTGTCTCCCGAGACTGACCAGGAGTGAAGCACGTGCAACAGTTACACATATTGAGGGTGGCCCCTTTTCGAAACTGGGTGCCCCTCCTCCTCCCTCCTCCTCCCTCTTCTTCTCCTCCTTCTCCTCCTCATCTTCCTCCCGTTTCTCCTCCTCTTCCTCCCTCTCCTCCTCCTCCTCCTCCTCCTCCTCCTCCTCCTCCTCCCTTTCCTCCTCCTCCTCCTCCTCTCTCCCTCTCCTCCCCCTCCTCTTCCTCTCTCCCCCTCCTCTTCCTTCTTCCTCCTCCTCCTTTCTTTCCTTCTCCTCCTCCTCCTCCTCTTTCCTCCTCCTCCTCCTTCTCCTCATCCTCCCTTTCCTCTTCCTCCTCCCAATCTTCTCCTTCTTCTTCTTCTTCTCCTTCTTCTTCTTCTTCTTCTTCTCCTTCTTCTTCTCCTTCTTCTTCTCCTTCTTCTTCTTCTAGAGTAGTTTCGACGGCGTTTGCGCTCCCTGTGACTGGCCGTCCCCAGAGGACAAGGCTCGTGCTCCTCCTCTTCCTCCTCCTCCTCCTCTTCATGCTCCTCCCCATGCTTCTATTTCTCTTGCTGCTGCGTCTCCTGCTCCTCTCGAAGGCAAATAGAAACACACACACATGCAATTTCGGAGGTCCGCGCAGATTTCTTGGGTCTGTGCTGTACTCCCCTCCCCACTCCCAGGAAGGGGAGGGGTAGACGGAGGAGGAAGACGAGGAGGATTTTTTTTGCAGCAGCGCTGATGCCTTTGAGGGTAGGCACGACACTGTGGGCCTCGGGGGAGGGGCTCATGGGCTCTCCCATGCTCGGAAGTCGGAGCAGGTGGAGATGGGGAAGTCCCGCTTCCTGATGATTTCGGTACGCGTGCCAGTTCTCGCACTTGAGATTGATGGTTGGCCTGCTCGCCAGGTGTGAAACGTGACCCTAGGCCCGACTGTCCAAAGCCACGGGCTTTTGGCAACCGCGCTGCACGACTTGATTCTCAACAATAGCGGTGCTAGCTCTGTCGTCGAGGTCGATCGGGCAACCAAAAACAACGGATGCATTTTCAACCATAGGAACATGTCCAAACGCCCCTCCCGTCAAATCACGCTGGGGCGCGTACCGGCTGTGCCACACAGTGATGCTGGCCTGGACGCTGCTGGTGAAAGTGCAAGGCGTATTGCTCACAGCAGCTGGAGGCGTGAGTCGTCGAATAGGAAATAATGGCACAAACATAAATTCTCGGTGCTCCGTGCGGAGCGCCGAATATTTATGTTCATGTAGTTGCGGTTTTTCAATCCCAGGACTGTTTTGAGGGTCGGGGACGACGTCGGGGTGGTGTGGTGTATACTTTTTCCACCGTTTCCCTGGGGAAACAACGAAGAATGTATACACAAGGATCCCGTATACACCGGGATCCGCTTTCCTGTGCGAGATTCAGTGTGAGGCCAGACAAAAGTGTCGGTGTAAAGAGTTGGGTTCCCTACTTGGATGTGGCCGTTTTTTGGGGCCACGCTCGCAGGACAGCCTCTTCCCTGGACTGTCACGGCCCGCGCGCCGCGGACATGCCAGCAGCTCCCATTCGGAGCGAGAGATCGGGCGCCGGGCCAAGCCAGCCGCCGCGGGCCAAATGTGGTGTTGCAGGCGAAGGGGTCTTGAGGCGATCGATCGATGGAGTGGCAGGAGCAGGAGGAGGATGAGGAGGAGGAGGAGGAGGAGGAGGAGGAGGAGGAGGAGGAGGAGGAAAAGGAGTATGAGGATGACCAGTGGTAGTCCAAAACTCATCAACGATGTTAGAATAAACCTTCCCTCCAAGCTCCCTCTTCATAGGCCCTGTACAAGGGTTGGTATCCAGTGGGGGAACTGCTTCGTTGGGGCACAACCGTTTGAAGACCCTGAAGCGTGCCAAAACACCATTCTCGGGACTCCAACGCCACGAATCAACATGGCTGTTGCGTCTTGATGATTCTGAACCGTGCCAGAACACCGTGGGCATCCAACACCGCGAATCAACGTGACTGTTGCGCCCTCACAATCCGGAGTCCTTTCCCAAACACAATTTCTGGCTCGTTGACCATGGGAAAACCGTGAAACTCTTGCAAACGGTTTAACGAATTTGCGCGGCGCTGGGGCGAGAGCCACATTTTGAAAGGGAGCCGTCCTCAATCCGTTAAGCTCTTGCAGATGTGTTGAAAGAATTTGCGCGGCGCTAAGGCGAGGGCCACATTTTGAAAAGCACTTGTTCTCAATCTGTGAAGCGCTTGCAATTGTTTAAAGCGAATGTGCGCGGCGCTAAGGCGAGAACCAAAAGTTGAAAACCATCCGCCCTCAATCTGTGAAGCGCTTGCAATTTAACCAACTGTGCGCGGCGGTAAGGCGAGAGCCACAAGTTGAAAATCACCCGCCCTCCATTCTTGAAGCTCTTGCAGTTCTTGAAATCGAGAGTGCGCGACGCTATGGCGAGAGCCACATTATGAACATCACCCGCCCTCAATCCGTAAAACGGTTGCC